GGGTGTTGGTGGATGTTGGTGTAGGGTTATCTGGCGCGCTCTATCGATCTAGAATGGTCTCGGGCTGTTTGGGGGGTGGTGGTGGGTGATGGCGTAGTTTACAAATACCCTGACTTTCTTACAGCTTCGCCTTGAGCAAAACTCGCGAAAAGACCCGAAAAGGACCTCACCGTTTGAGCGTTATTTTCAGTAAAAGTCATTTTCTCCACGAGAAAAAGGAATTTCGAAAAAAGCTCTCTTTGAAGTTGGACAGGAGCTCACGGAGAATCGAACGCAGTATGAATTGAGGCTCTACGATCTTCCAGAAAATAGAAGATAGGTTTGCAAAAACGGGAAGCACTTTTTGGACATTTTTCTCTCGGTGTGCCTACCGCAAAGGGATTTTGGGTCTAAGATCTTTCTGAGTCCATATTCTTGTTCAGTTTTCGACGCTGAACAAGAATATCTGTATTAGAATACTCCGACTCCAAGCCAGGCTAAAAAATTTCAAATTCAAAAAAAGACAGCGAAAACGGGTTTTTTAGTCCCTCCGAATATTTTGCCCATAACTCCGCGAGAGAAGGGTTTCCGGAGTCGGGAAGTGATATTCGTGATCGCCGTTCGATTCTCTGTAGAATGATGTGCAAAAGAACCGAATCTGTTTTCCACTCGAATTCTACTTTCCGTGCATCTTACTTTTTTTGTTTTCTAAATTTTGATGATTTTTATTATTTGATGGTTGTTTTATTTATAGTTAGTTGTTTCCTCCTTTTTTTCTTTTTATTTATAAATTTGTAGTTGTTATTCATTTATTTAATTTGAAATTAGTTTTTTTTGTAATATTTATAGATATTTTGTTATTGGTTTATTATTTTAGTTTTATTCTTATTTATGGTCTTAGGGTGCTAGGTCAATTGGTCGCAGGACAATTCGTCGCGGTCAATTAGTTGCAAGTCAGTGCGTCGCAGTCAATTTGTTGTGGACTATTCTTCGCGATCTATTCGTCGCACGGTCAATTCGTGGCAGTCAATTCGTCGTATAATTTTCTAATGGAAAAAGGAACGGGCTGGCAAAAACGTGACAAGGGAATCGTCCCAAGTGATTAATCGTTGTGACTATGAAATTACTGTTCTCATATGTAACCGACGGTGCTGGTTACGAATGTAAAGTCGGTTTTGTCCCAATTTAGTTTCTAAGTCTGAGTCTGAAACAGAGCTTTAGAAATACGAAAATTAAAGTAATTCAAAAAGATTTTCTGAGTAAACGTTTTTGTAGGCCGCATCACTACCTATAGTCCGTAACTTTTAGACTTCCTAGTGGAGTTTGAGTGCAGCTATGAATTTTTAAGTTTTTTGCCGAACAGTAAAACTGGCGAATTAGTAATTTAAATTGACAATAGAACAGTAGTCTTTCGAACAAACTTTATGCTCCGAACAATGGTCTTTCGATTCATGCATAAGTCAAGTTCTTATTAAGCTTTTTCACGAAAAAAAACTGCTTTTAGCTCTCGTATCACTCTCATGAGAACTGTATCATGGTAACCTGCACTTAAAAAATGCATGGCTCCACTAAAACTCTAGTGGGAAGTCTAAAACTTAGAGACTAGAGGTAGTTTGATGCTACAAAAAATGACGAGTTGAAGTTTGATTATTTATTACTTTGAGTTTTAGGTTTTATTTTCCTTTTTAGTATGGGTGATTTAACTGGCATCGTTCTTTCTAATTCTAGCTAGATATTGTTAAGCACGATACTTACTATGTTGTGGCTCATTTTCACTATACCCCAGGTAGTTGATTCCGGCGTCATGATCTTGACGGAACCTGCCGGAAGTTATTGGAACTCGGTAAAATCCGGCAGCAACCGTTGCTCGGAATTAATGTCGGAAAAGATCCAACATCTTCCGACGTCTTCCGGCATCTTCCGACCGATGAATCTGATTTTGCTGGATGTGGCAGAATGTGATCAGTTTTGAGGTTAAAAATAGTCTTCATTTTTCTTTCATTTTCTAGTGGTTCTTCTCTCTGCTTATTCGAGAGTGCAAGGCCCCACTAGCTAGGACGTGTACAACACGTCCGTTGAATAGTATAAGCGATGACAGACAGATTCCTATCTCCGGATCCGATCAGGCGAATTCGCCTGGGACTTTAAGAATGGGTGCTGTGTTTAGTATTTTAGCTATCTTTTTCTATTAGTTTCCTTTGTTTACTGGTTTAGTTTCTAAATACTTATTAGTGCAATTTATTACTATGTTTTTTGCTGTTAATTTAACTTTTTTTCCTCAGCATTTTTTAGGACTAGTTGATATACCTCGTCGTTATAGGAATTATGTTAATAGGATGTTGTTTTGAGATGTTATTTCTTCATTGAGTGCTTTTTTTTCTTTTATATCTATAGTTTATGTTCTTTTTATATAATTGTAACTTTTAAGATTTTATATTAGCTGAGAGGATGATGGAGCGGTCCGTTGAAAGTTTGATTAGTTTGTATGTCAATTATTATATTTCTTATTTGCGTAAAACCGGGATTGACCGCAGTTCAGTACCAAAAAATGCGATTATTGCTAGGGAAATCGCGAGCAACTACATGCGTTATTTAACCGCGGTTTCCAAGTAAAATGCGTTTTAGGATAAAAAACTGCAATTCAGAAGCTTTTTCAGGAGAAAGTCGCGTTTTTGCGACAAAAAATTGGCATGCATTCACACGACTAAGGAGTGTCTAAGAATCATGATTACGTGCTCGAGAAAGGCCAAAAGAACATCTGAGGCATTGTATAGAAGTGTCGAGTATTTTGTTCTTTCATAGGTCAAAGTAGTTCAAATTTTCGGTACTATTCATGGGCACAAAATGCTCGTCAATGTTTACTTTTTCGCCTTGTTCATTATACAACTGACAGGCACGGCCTGCACCATGAAGTCTCATATTTGGTAAGTGATCATCCATAAAACAGAGTATTCTCTCAAGTGAGGCTGGGTTATAATTATTCAATGCATAACTATGCAACAGCATGAAAAGTGTGTCTTTCGCCGGAATAAGACCATTTGTTGCTTCCATTTTTCTTTGGTTAGCCAATTGTTCAAGTTTCCCCATGACATGTTCGGTCTCGGTTCCATTATCCAGCATTTTCATACATTCAATTAGTTCACCTAACTGATTGACTAATAAAGTGATTGTTCAAAATATTACGTTTCGGTAAAAGTTTGGGATCCTACTGGATGCGGTAGAGAGACCTTGGTGCTGGAGATGATGATGCTCTGCGTGTTCTGACTAGCGAATATGTATGCGTGCATACATTCTTATGTAATAAAATGAAAAAGAACCGGTGGCTCCTTCACTCACTCTTTCAATAAACAACGTTGATATAGAAAGAGTTTCGTCTCTTAAGCTTCTTGGCATGATTATTTCATATAATTTAACGTGGAAGGCTCACATTGAATATGTGTCAATGAAATCT